AAAAAAAGGGCTTCAAAAATTAGAGGAGACGGCAGGCAGCGTTGTAATCGCTGAACAGTAGGCCCGACCCTACTGGCGCAAGTGAAAATTGTTGACTGACAGTTTTTGTATAACTTTTGAGATTGCTCGCAAGTTAATGGACAAGGCGAATCCACTACCTCATGCAGCACTAACCCGGTTGTGTTTCTGCCGAGCGAGGTAACAACGTAATGATCATTAGAAGGCAAACAACAATAAGAATACGAGCAACTCCAAAAACTCACGATTTGGGGACCTTAGCATTAATCGTGAATTTGTTATCAATGGCTTCAAGTACTACACAAATTTGGGAAGCAATTTGTTCAAACGGGGTTGTAGTAGTGACATCTGTAAGTGGAGTAGAGACTTCCAAAGTAGGTACTGAGTTTTTTGGAACACAATTACATAATTAACTGGACCATGTAGATTATTAATTTTTTCTAATGCTACTTTATACGCCATATAACATTTACGAGAGAAGACTTCAAATTGTTCATCTACCTCAGCATACATCAAGGATACAAGTATTTGGAAAGAGGTTTATAGAACAATAAGTAATAATTAATGGGTGTTGAGGTGAATCACTGGAATGGGAGCTGAGGGTTTTGGGGGTGGGGGTTGCGTGTGTTATCACACTATTTATGTTCTACTGTTGCAAGGAAGAATTGGTATTTTCTAATGCGTCGTAAGTTGAAGGAGTTACTGATAACAGCAGATGGTGGGATTTGAGTTTAGTAAGTGAATAACGCAAATAGTTGGTGCTGATTTGGGTAGTGGAGCAAATTTGGGATTCCTTATTACCCGTCATTAATATTTTTCTAGCTTTTGAATTGGAAGAGATACATGTGAAATATATACTATAGGATTGAGGTGTCGCGTGAGGTGTCGGGTAAATCTTTGAATCTTTGAATAGATGAAAAGGGAGTAAATTGTAGGGAAATCTTTGTGGAATGAGTAGTTGGAGGGGGACTTCGGGTTGGAGGATTACCTAGGGAAGGGGATAGGCTTGGCATGATGCTAATTTCGAGTAGATTATGAGACAAAGGGGAGTTGTCAAACAGTGTAGTAGGTTAAAGTGGGGTCATTAGGTGAAGATACGGATATATAGAAGATTGGCAAATTAAAGTGAAGTACAGTAGAGTAGTTACATCGCGGTAGTGATTTGTTGGATACACCAATTCATGGTTGACCTTTAACTTCTAATGATAATGATCATGAAATGATGAAACGATGATCAATTTGCAATTAGTATAGGTAGTGAGATCAGGATGCACCAATTCATGGTTGACCTCTAACTTCTAATGATGATGATGATGTTTTTATTTCCTTTTTGCTCATCAAGAATTACTGAAGTGTCAAATCATGATGTAAAAGTTTACACTTGAGTTAGTAATGTTATGATCTCATGAGGTGAAGAGACATCCCAGTTTAGACAGAAGGTTGAAGTGATGACCCAACCTAATGTTGATAAACTCAAAACCATAACAGATTAAGCACCTGGGAATTTCTCATCCAAAGGTCTGGGACTATCCAAACCAAATGAAGGATCAATAGAACTACATTTGTTGTAAAGCTTGTGTGCGTGGAATAAAAGTGATAGGATTGGGAATCATTTATTAACTCCGTGCGCTAGGAATTCTGCTATATCATTAAATCAATATTGAATGTCTTTGTAATGACTGATATGATCTGTTGTTCAATCAAGGGTATATACACCCTCTTGTTTTCTATTTTGTTTTCTTCTTTTTATCTTCATCTTTAATCAAATCTTTTCTTTGTTATTAAACTCAGTTTCTACAGCGTCCCAATCAACAAACCTTTTCTCTTTAAATCTATTCTCAAATCCCTTAGGTTAGTATTGCTCCGCTTTGATTAGAAACTCTCTTGATATCATAGTCTTGTTACTGATTTATTAATACCTAGTAGTGTCAATTAACAGTTCAATAAGCTTGCTTATTGACAAAAACGTATCCCTCCTACCAACGCCGAGACAGTTACGCAACACAGTGTTACGGGGCAGGTTGCGCGTTGCGTAACTGTATCCGTTATCAGGAATTTCCTCGAAATGCTAACGCTGCTGAATCAGTTGCGCTAGCCACTTTTGCGTAACTGATTAGAAATCCCGCCGCTATGTCACATTGATAACGTAACTCCTAGAGTTACGTTAACGCTACTGTAGCTTGATAACTAGTGAAAATTTTCTTTAACATCAAAAAATATATACATAAAATAATGAAACAAGACTTTGAAAGAGTTACTAAATAGAATCAAAAAGACAATTTAATTAAAAATGTTCACAAGTTTAGAATACCACCGATTTTAGTTGTCATGAGGTCACATGAAATTGTTTACCCTAATATGTTCCACAACATTGACAAATTCATCGCCTAGAGGAACCCCCTCGACTAACCACATGCGGGTTGAGACCGACCTCTCAATATTAATTGGACTCAGGCCCCCTCGACTAGCTGAACATACATCAGCCGTGGCGGAGAAGGTTCGCTCAGGTTGGGCCGAAGATCCCGAACTCGCCAGGTGGTCTTGAGCCATCAGTGCAACAATTGGAAACCTGTTGTGATTAACCTGCAAAGAAGCAAATATGATTACATAAGAAAAGAAAGAATGATAACATCCAGACTTACCGACCACCATCGCAGTGCTTCGCTTGGATTGCCAAGATCGTAATCGGGTTCCTTCATACGAAGCGTTCCTCGAAAATAATCTTGAACCTGAGAATCATCACCTAGGTGCTCATGGTCATCATCTTCATCACTATAAACATCGAACATTGCCGAAGTTGTCTGCTTTGTGAAACCTGTATCATCAGATCGCAAAGTTGATGGCTTTCGTTTGATTGATTGTAATTGGTAATCTTTGAATAGCCTATTGAAAGTGGTGTCAGCTTGAATGTAAGTAATTGAGGTCTTTCCAAAATTCTTCTCGAAGTATTTGAGTTGGAAGGCCGGGTGAAGGATCGTTGCCATGATCAGGGTTTCGGTTGAAAGTGCTTCGTCCAGGTAGAGTTTACGTTGCCATGATCAGGGTTTTGGTTGAAAGTGCTTCGTCCAGGTAGAGTTTAACTTTGGTGATCATCGCCTCTATCATTGGATAAAGAGCATCGCTTGTTGATATCTTGAGTTGCCGTTCTTGTAACGCCGCTTGCAATTGAACATACTGCGGTATCACCATTGCACCAGTTGGGAGATTACCCTCCATCTGCTTGGTGATATTCAAGAACGGCTGAAAGAAGTATGTGACTCAATAAGTAGTGTAGATGTAAGTGATCTAGTATTGAATATGAAGCTTACCTCAAGCTCGCGGTTGAGTTCTTCAATCGAAGCCCAATCAGAAGGAGATATAGTAATCTCATGGAAGTAACCGTAAGGTTTTCCATTTTTACGAGGTCGACGAGTCTTTGACTTTACACGTTCCAGATCGTCTTTTAAAAGCTGATCAATCACCTTAAAACGAAAGTTGATTGTGTTGATGTCAATAAAACAATAACCTAAGAATAAAAAAAAACACTAACCTCACATGCCAACCACGCTTTGTGGCGACTGACATACTTGATATTCCACCTAATCCCGTATCCTGCAATTAAAGACCCAAGTGATAGACCTCGGCTTTTCATAACTCGGTTATATTCATTTCGCCATGAAGATGAGCGCGTTATTCTTCGGATAACAAAGTCCAGCTGGAGATGATGTGGATGTAAGTTTGTAGTCATGAAGGATGAAGCTTTGTATACAAAAACTAACCTTGTCCAGGATATAATTCAATTTGTTGGCCTCGCGTTGATGACTTGGGGCCACAGTGTCTTCAAGCAAAATTAGAGGATTGCCTGCATCTTGAGCATCTGCTGCATCCCAGTCAAGCTCGTCGTCTACCGCTGCATCGCCTAAAGTAGCTTCCAATCGAGTGATGATGTTAGTCTACTCTCGGGATTGTCTTCGTCCTCGACCTCTTGAAGGTCATGTTCGACATCAGACAATAGATCCTCGGATGGCGCCGTCGCAACGTCGGGTACTTCAACAACAGGTCCTTCACCAGGTTGTGAATCTTCCGGCTCGTCCTCTTCAGCAACTGTAGCACAAACAGCAGGGAACTGGCCCCGATTTGCAGTCTTGATCTTCCGTGGTGCAGCTGTCTTGAGACCAAGGGCAGCTAGTCCTGCTCCTACAATCAGGGCTAGCTTATGGCAGAAACAGAACGCGTGCATTCTGTCAGGGTTCCAGGTGTAGTTAGGACCACAACGGCCAATGAACTGCCGATGCATTTCATTGGCCATTGTTTTATTGTTCGACCCCGAATCAGTTGTCTGGGAGAGCAAGTGAAGACGTTAAAGAATAAATCAGCCTATATGATAATTTATATTAATGAAATATATATTATATTAAAGAAATCAATAGTGTTACTCATCTTATCGGCGAGGTTGTGCTTGATCAATATGTTGGCCAAAGGCTCAGCCAACCAGACACCTCGGTGTTCCCACACAACTACCTTCAGTGTGAGGTGACGAGATACAAAATTCCAGGCAGGATTGATGTAAGTAACATTAGCACCAATGAAGCCATGACTATTACCCTTCGTAGTCCACACGTCATGTTGCATCGAGAATTTTGAAGTTAAGCCCTGTAATCAAAATCAATGTTAGTTTGAAGTTTGAATGAAAGCCAAATAGAGAAAAGATGAACTGCAAAGAAAATCACACCTTCAGTTCATTAAAAACTTGATTCTTCATCGACAAGTTGAGGTGTTTGGCCTCTAGCGTGGCCCAGTGCCTTCCATATACCTTTGCCTCAGGTTTAAGATACTGGATAGATGCACGAAGCCAGGGATTGGGCAAAACGTGACCAAGGCAGAGCTTGACGAAGTAACCAGATACACATTCCTTGATTGAATGTGAGGTTGTTGAACTTAGAAACCTTGCTAGTCGTAACAAAACCATCCAGAGGACCGTTGCTTTTCTTCTTTTCA